TGGCTGTGGACTCAGGCGGCATAGAATCTSGKTCATCTATATCATCTGATGGGGAAAGATTCGGGTATCTTCTATGTAGSGACACTGTGGTGTTGGAGGGCTATACTGGCTTCTTGCTGCTGCTGCTGGCYRGAGGGCTGGATTTGCAGGACTTCTGCGGMTCTCCCATCATCTCAGTAGAATAGGGAGGTTAGGCATTTATTCCTCAACAGAGTTGGGGCAGGATAGGAGATTTGATCTCATTAATTCCTGCCCAAAATCTAGTTTTTCAAAACTTTTCTCAAAATCTGCTAACATGTACCCTAGCAGGGCTTTAAGCTTGCTTCTGAATGATCATCACATGTTTTAGACAGACAGACAACTAATACACAAAAGAGGGGAAAGGTATGTGGGATCTAACCACACAGCATCTGGTTTCTTTCATACAACATTGATTGCATTCATTCATTCATTCATTCATTCAATGCATTCATACAACATACAACATTGATTCAAACATACAGACAATGTACCTAGGCTTTCTCTTTTTTTTCTTCTCTCTCTCTCTCTCCCTAGGCAGTCGGTTTCCCTTTCTGGCACACCCAAAAAATCCCAAAAAGTCTACTCGGGACTGCCTTTTTTCCAGGGTAATTACTCCTGGATTGGTCACTAGCAAACACAGCTATGACCTGTCCTGACGTCTACACTCTTCTTTTAAATGTTCTTTTTTCACATTCATACTTGCCTGATCCGTGGTTTTCCGCCTCCTCTGATGAAAGGATGGAACTTCGTCGGAAACAGCAGCCAGTCTTCATCCTCCCGAGAGAACCCCTTCAGTGTTAAAAAAAACACTGCCTGCAGGACGGGGATAGCTGTCGAAAATGATGGGAGCCAGCCTGCTGTCCGAGGAATCTCCAGGCTTTTCCAAAAAAGCCCCTTTTCTCTGTCTCCCCTTCTGCAAACCTCCTTCAAAACTCCTGCCTGGCTCGCCAAAATGTAGTAGCAGGAGCGGTTTGATGAAAGGAGACACAGAGAGAGGTCTGGAGACTTTAAAGCACGTTTATTTATCCAGCTGGAGCCTGGTGTGGAGTCACCTCTAATCACACCAGCCGCGATCAAGGTGCGGACTGGCCTTTTATAAGTTTCAGACTCAAGTAGACAAAGAACATACTATAACATATATCATCGTCATCCCTACGTCATCTGAGCATCATAAGAATATCAGGTTCCAACCTCCAACATGCAAAAACATGTCTCTGTGTCTAGCTGAAGAGCAGGCATTTTGCAGTCATCGATCAAGGGGCCTCCTCTGACCTGCCAAAAGGTGCTTCTCCGTCCTAGCACGGGTTTCTCCAACAGTCCGTTGGAGGCAAGTGTGAATGTTGCCACTGGCCAGCTTGATTAGCCTTGAATAATCTTGCAGATGCAAAGTAAATCAGTGAGGGTATCTGCATAGAGGTCTGTTGGAAATGAAGCAAGTGTACTGTTTATATATATCTGTGGAATGATATCCAGGGTGGGAGAAAGAACTCTTGTCTGTTGGAGGCAAGTGTGAATGGTGCCATTGGCCAGCTTGATTAGCCTTGAATAATCTTGTAGATGCAAAGTCAATCAGTGAGGGCATCTGTATAGAGGTCTATTGGAAAGGAGGCAAGTGCACTGTATATATATATGTGGAATGATGTCCAGGGTGGGAGAAAGAACTCTTGTCAGTTGGAGCCAAGTGTGAATGTTGCCATTAGCCAGCTTGATTGACATTGAATAGCCTTGCAGCTTCAAAGCCTGGCTGCTTCCTGCCAGGAAACACAGTTTTTATTCTATGCATTTTATTTGCTTACTGTTTAAACTCTTTTTAGTTTATGTTAAACTGCATTGAATCTTGATGGAGTTGTAAGCAGCCTTGAGTTCCCCTGCAGGAGTGAGAAAGGTGGGGTACAAATGAAGCCAACAAACAAACAAACAACCAGGGCCAGCTAACAAAGAATTCCCCCTAACAAAGAATTCCCTAACAAAGAATTCCCCCAGGCAGGAAGCAGCCAGGCTTTGAAGCTGCATGACTTTTCAATGCTAATCAAGCAGGCCAATTGCAACATTCACACTTGCCTCAAACAGACAAGAGTTCTTTCTCCCACCCTGAACATCATTACACAGATAGATAGATGGATGGATGGATGGATAGATAGATAGATATCCCACTTGCCTAGTTTCCAACAGAGCTCTGAGGATGCCTGCCATAGATGTGGGTGAAACGTTAGGAGAGAATACTTCTGGAACATGGCCACATGGCCATACAGCCTGGAAAATTCACAGCAACCTAGCCATCAAAATCTTCAACAACACATTAAATTCTTAATATTTAAACAGAGCAGCATGTAAGACTCGCCACATTTCATGAGGCTCAGAGTCTGCAAAGTGCATGTTGAGAGTTGTGGTCTTATGTTGCAACCCTAAACATGTGAATTCAATATGATTTATTCCTAACGAAGTGTGTAAAAGACGTGTTGTTGAAACAGTTCTCAGAATAAGGAATGTGCAATCCTTCCTGGATGTGGTCTGAATTTTCCTTTGCGCAAACCTCCAAAAGTAAAAGCTGCCTATTAGGCAGAAAGCATACAGATTTGCAACCTGAATGGTCTCAGGAAACAGAGCTTCGAACAAGCTCCTCAAAGTGAAATGCTTTTTGCAAGAGGAAAGATGCAACTATTTCAAATTAATAGAAGTACACTTCCAGTGAAAGCAGAGAAACTGGCCTCCAAGTTTAGACATTTCCAAATTGTGGTATGAGCAGAGAATATTACTACAGCAGCAAGTTATTCAAATATGTGTGAGAGTGTGTCTACACTATAGAATTAATGTAGTTTGGCACCACTTTAAATGCCATGGCTCAATGCTATGGAATCCTTGGAGTTGTAGTTTGGGGAGGCAAGAACATTTTCTTATATTATTATTATTATTATTATTATTATTATTATTATTATTATTACATTATATTACCATATATTATATATTATATATATTACATTATAATACCATATTCTCTTTTTGTATTATATATGTTTAAATAATTGTATTTATTACTATAGTATTATTATATTTTATTATTACATTGTATAACTATTTTGTGATATTTTACTATTTTCTTCTTATTCCATTTTATTACTTTATTCCATTTTACTGCTATATTATTATTACTATTATTATCATTTCCTATTATTAAATTTATTCATTATTATTAGCCCTCAGCCCCCGGGGTTAAACCCCTGTGCCGACAGGACTGAAGACCGACAGGGTCGCAGGTTCGAATCCGGGGAGAGGCGGATGAGCTCCCTCTATCAGCTCCAGCTCCTCATGCGGGGACATGAGAGAAGCCTCCCACAAGGATGATAAAAACATCAAATCATCCAGGCGTCCCCTGGGCAACGTCCTTGCAGACGGCCAATTCTCTCACACCAGGAGTCACTCCTGACATGACAAAATTATTATTATTATTATTATTATTATTATTATTATTATTATTATTATTGAGTTATGTCTCCCTGCCTGGCAGAAGGGGGTGGGACTGGATGGCCTTTGAGGGTCTCTTCCTACTCAAGTGGAATATAAGACAGCATTAGTGTGATGGACTCTCTCTATCTGGAGATCAAATTGCTACATGGCCATCTGTCAGGAAGACTTGGATTGTGTCTCCCTGCTTGGCAGAAGGGGGTGGAACTGGATGGTCTTTGAGGTCTCTCCCCATTTGCTTCTTCCTAGCCACTTTGAGTCTCCTTGTAAAGGGAAAAAGCAGACTGTAAATAAACATAAACATAATAATAGACTGCCTCAATGTAATGGACACTCTTGATACATCTGTTGGGAGGGCTTAGATTGTGTCTCCCTGCCTGGCAAAAGGGGGTGGGACTGGATGGCCTTTGAGGGTCTCTTCCTACTCAAGTGAAAGATAAGACAGCATTAGTGTGATGGGCTCTCTCTATCTGGAGGTCAAATTGCTACATGGCCATCTGTCAGGAAGGCTTAGATTGTGTCTCCCTCCCTGGAAGAAGGGGGTGGGACTGGATGGCCTTTGAGGGTCTCTTCCTATTCATTTCTTCTACCCATTTTGAGTCTCCTTGTAGAGGGAAAAAGCAGACTATAAATAAACTTAATAAACATAAACCTAATCACAATAATAACAACAACAATAATATAGACAAATTCAATGTCTCTTGATACAGAGGTCAAACCACTACATGGCCATCTGTCAGGAAGGCTTGAATTGTGTCTGCCTGCTTGGCAGAAGGGGGTGGAACTGGATGGTCTTTGAGGGTCTCTCCCCATTTGCTTCTTTCTAGCCACTTTGTGTCTCCTTGTAAAGGGAAAAACAGACTATAATAAACATAAACATAATAGTAGACTGCCTCAATGTAATGGACACTCTTAATACATCTGTTGGGAGGGCTTAGATTGTGTCTCCCTGCCTGGCAGAAGGGGGTAGGACTGGATGGCCTTTGAGGGTCTCTTCCTACTCAAGCGGAAGATAGACTACATTAGTGTGATGGACTCTCTGTATCTGGAGGTCAAACTGCTACATTGCTGTCCAGGCCTGTAGCAAGGGGGGTGGTTTTAGGGGTTCAACCCCCCCCCCCCGAAATGTTTCAGATTTTTTTTAAAAAAACTGGTTTACTCATGAATTTTAACTGGTTAACCAAATCCCCATGCTAAGTCTATGAGATGCAAAAAATTAAGAGTCTCTCCAGAACTGTAAGCACTATCTCAAGCAAATATTGACAATTTATTCACACTGTCCATACTTGCAGCAATAGCCGATGAAGTGAAGCAACCAAGTTGGGTGTGTGTGTGTTGAATGTTCTCATTAAGGAGGCCAGACTTGGTGGAGGTGGTTGACAGGGGCGGAGCTGCAGGCTATTGAAGGTTGCTCTGCCCCCTGCTGTGCTCTTTGCTTCAGCGTGAGCTAGGAGGCAGGTTTCAACCCCCCCCCCCCGAAATCGTCAACCCTCCCCGAAATTTTTTTCTGGCTACGGCCCTGTTACCGTCTATTGAGAGGGCTTGGATTGTGCCTCCCTACCTGGCAGAAGTGGGTGGGACAGGGTGGCCTTTGGGGATCCCTCCCAACTCTTTGAGTCTTTGATTCTACAAACTCACATGGTTGCTTGGGTTGCTTTGCAGAGCATGGAAGTGAAGGGAAGCAGTCTTGCCTGGAAGAAAACCGGGGCCAATAAGACCGAGACCTGGTGGGGAGGCATCCGCAGCAACAGCACTTTCCTGCCTTACTACCAGCACTCGCCAGCGGTGGCTGCCATCTTGGTAGTGGCCTATCTGCTGGCCTTCCTCTCCTGCATGGCCGGGAACACCTTGGTTTGCCTGGTGGTGTTGAGGAACCCCCGCATGCGCACCGTCACCAACCTCTTCATCCTCAACTTGGCCGTCAGTGACCTGCTGGTGGGCATCTGTTGCGTCCCGACAACCCTGATGGACAACCTGATCACAGGTGGAAGAGAAGAGTCACTTTTTCATGGAAGTTCTGGAAAAAACAGAGGCATTGATAGCTACAGCTTGGGGTGCATCTACTTTTGAGGGAATGCAGTTGAACCACCATGGCCCAATACTATGGAATGATGGGAGCTGTTGATATTACCCAGATCCTATTTCACATCTGTCAGATAGCCAGCCCATAATAAATCTCTAGTATCCAAGTCCCAAATAGTCACTAGAGACAGGAGATCTCCATTATAGTGAGTTTATTGATCAGATAAACTGTGCAGTGAGCTTACACAAAAAGGGAGCCCCATGCCACACCTCAATCCATCTCGAATCCAGGGAGCAGGGTGAGCTCCCATCTGTCAGCTCCAGTTTCCCATGTGGGGACATGAGAGAAGCCTTCCACAGGGTGGTAAAACATCTGGGCATTTTCTGGGCAACATCGTTACAGATGGCCAATTCTCTCACACCAGAAGCAATTTGCAGTTTCTCAAGTCACTACTGATATGGGAAAAAAAGTGTTAGCTAATTAGCCTCCTAGTTTTTCCCATTGTTTATCAGAAGATTTGTTGCCTTGCTGTATCAATCAGTTTTCTAGTCCCAATTACCTCACTTTGTGCTTAGCTTTGTAGTCTTAGCAAAACAACTGATCTGTTCTTTGAAGCTTGATGCTGAATCAACCTGCCCCATTTGGAGTCTGCTACAATTAAGCTATTAGGCAATTATCAATTATCAATTAAGCTATTAGGCAATTATCAACCTGCCCCATTTGGAGTCTGCTACAATTAAGCTGTTAGGCAACTATTAGGCAATTACCACAGTGTTGTTTGCAAAARAAAGTGGTGATGATACACATTTGCAATTATTGTTGAGTACTCTTGCTAAGCAGTTATTATTAGCAAATATCACAGAAGTTATTATTCACAAATATTGTTAAGAAAATATCTCAGATTTCAATTATTAGAATCATAGAGTTGGAAGAGACCTCATGGGCCATCCAGTCCAACCCCCTGCCAAGAAGCAGGAAAATCGCATTCAAAGCACCCCCGACAGATGACCATCCAGCCTCTGTTTAAAAGCTTCCAAAGAAGGAGCCTACACCACACTCTGGGGCAGAGAGTTCCACTGCTGAACGGCTCTCACAGTCAGGAAGTTCTTCCTAATGTTCAGATGGAATCCCCTTTGTTGTAGTTTGAAGCCAAGATCTTTTTCACACATACTGCTATCGAGCAAGGCATTCCCCATTCTTTATCTTTGCATTTCATCTTTTCTGCCTAAGTGGAGTGCTAGCATATGTTCTAGACTACAGATCACATAATCCCTGATCATGCTAGCATATTATCTAGACCACAGGCTCCATAATCCRCCATCATACTAATATATGTTTGGTATTGATGCAGGCCAAAATCCCATTGGCTTTTTTATGCCGCCACATGACATTGTTGGCTCATGTTTAACTTGTTGTCCACGAGGACTCCAAGATCTTTTTCACATGTACTAGTCTGTATAAATAAAAATGTAATGTTCGTTTGTGGGATTAACATAACTCAAAAACCACTGGACGAATTGACACTAAATTTGGACAGCATACACCTAACAACCCAATGTATGYCTTTCACTCGAAAAAAATTGATTTTGTCATTTGGAAGTTGTAGTTGCTGGGATTTATAGTTTACCTACAATCAAAGAACATTCTGAACTCCACCARTGATGGAATTGAACCAAGCGTGGCATACAGGATTCCCATGACCAACATTAGAAGGGTTTGGTGGACATTGACCTTGAGTTAGGGAGTTGTAGTTCACCCACATCCAGAGAGCACTGTGGACTCAAACAATGATAGATCCGGACCAAACTTGGCACAAATATTCTATATGCCCAAATATGAATACAAATGGAGTATGGGGGGAAATAGACCTTGACATTTGGGAGTTGTGGTTACTGGGATTTATAGTTCACCTACAATCAAAGAGCATTCTGAACCCTACGAACAACAGAATTGGGCCAAACTTCCGACACAGAACCCCCATGACCAACAGAAAATACTTAAGGCCACCCAGTCCGACTCCCTTCACCAGGGAAAGAAAACATAATCAAAGCCCTCCTGACAAAGAGCCATCCAGTCATAGATATAGATAGATATATATGATTCACACACAGAGAGAGGTATAGTATCATAGGTTTGAAAGGGTACCCCTTAAAGAAGGACAATTATATGTTACATGTTTCAGAGTAGGCAAACCATACCATCTCCACATCAACACTGACAAAGAAACAACAAGAAATGCTGTTTACCCACAAGCAGAAAGACATTACATATATTGGAAACCAACACTTTCTCATTGTTTTATTTTCCAGATCACCAGACTGAGCCACAACAACGCGTGGCCAGGGACGGCTAGTTTGTCATAAAAACAAAGTTTCTGGCTACCAGTATTAAAAAACTCTAAAATTGCAACAGCACAACAACAGAGAGGAAGCAGGCAGGGGCATCTAATTACCTCTCAACAAAAGTTTGCCCCAGGCACAGTCAGGCCATTGTATGCTAATCAAGGTGGTCAGTTGAAACATTCACACTTAGCTCCAGCAGACAATAGTCCTTTGTCCCACCCTGGTCATTCCACAGATATATAAACCCTTTTTCCTAGTTCCAACAGACCTCACTACCTCTGAGGATGCTTGCCATAGATGCAGGCAGAACGTCAGGAGAGAATGCCTGTAGACCATGGCCATATAGGCCGAAAAAACCTACAACAACCCAAAATTTCTGGAGTATAGCAACTACTTTCAAAGTCAGCACCGCACAATTAAACATGAAATAACACTTCTAAACCAATAACAGCCCCCCCCCCCAATGTGTTGCATAATGTTACAGGATTATGTTTATTTATACCTTGCTTCTTCTCTCCACAAGAAAACTCAGTGAAGTTAAACTGCATTCATTCTACAGTGTAAATGCAGCTCTGGAAGCCAAGCATTACTTTCTCGTACGTTTTTCAATTAACATGCTGCCCTAAGAAAAGAATGGCCAGGCAGAGGATTTAAACAAACTCCCTCTAATTAAAAGAAATTGAAATCCTTTCCAAACCTGGAGGCTGCATTTTCACTCTTGAATTCCGCCTTCCATTGACGCGAAATGCTAATGAGGACACCAAGCCCCAATTTGTTATCTTAATTGCTAGCAGAGTTTGATAATACAGAACCATACACTCACTCTGGAGGGGTTTAATTGGATTTTGGAAACGCCAGGTCCCGAAAAGGGGTGCATCTACGCAGTAGAATAAATGCCATTAGTCAATGCTATGGAAACATGGGATTTGTAGTTTTACAAGGTCTTGAGCTTTCTCTGCCAAAAAGTCCCTGGTGCCTTACCAGCCTCCCAGGATTCTATCGCATTGAGCCATCGCACCTAAAGTGCTGCCAGAGTGCATTGATTCTGCGCTGAAGAAGAACCCCCTTTTCAGAAGCACCCCATTTGCTTGATCCCCTTTTCTGTTCATTTTTGCTCAACAGGTTGGCCATTCAATCAGGTGATCTGTACAATGAGTGGTTTGGTCCAAGGGATGTCCGTTTCGGCATCGGTCTTCACCCTCGTGGCGATCGCCATGGACAGGTAAGACCCCAATGTATTTCTCCCATTACTCCCAAAACTACAATTCCCAAGATTCAATTGCAACTAAAAGTGGTGTCAAATTGCACCAGTCCAAGTCAAATGGAACAAGTTGGAGGACATGTTCAGGGCTAGGACTAATTGGAATTGCAGTCCCAAAACACTCCCAATGGTTTGCTTATCTCCAATAGTTGCCCATCTTTGCTGTAGCCCAGTGTTTCTCAACCCGGGGGTCGCAAGGGGGTGTCAAAGTGGGTCACCAAAGATAATCAGAAAACACATTATTTTCTGTTGGTCATGGGGGTTCTGTATGGGAAGTCTGGCCGAATTGTATCATTGGTGAGCTTCAGAATGCTCTTTGATTGCAAGTGAACTATAAATCCCAGCAACTACAACTCCCAAATATCAAGGTCTATTTCCCCTAAACTCCACCAGTGTTCACATTTGGGCATTTTGAGTATCCGTGCCAAGTTTGGTCCAGATCCATCATTGTTTGAGTCCTCAGTACTCTCTGGATGTAGGTGAACTACAACTCCCAAACTCAAGGTCAATGAGCACCAAACCCTTCCAATATTTTCCGTTGGTTGTGGAAGTTCTGTGTGCCAAGTTTGGTTCAATTCCATCATTGGTAGAGTTCAGAATGCTCTTTGATTGTAGGTGAACTATAAATCCCAGCAACTACAACTCCCAAATGTCAAGGTCTATTTCCCCCAAACTCCACCAGTGTTCACATTTAGGCATATTGAGTATCTGTGCAAAGTTTGGTCCAGATCTAACATTGTTTGAATCCTCGGTACTCTCTGGTTGTAGGTGAACTACAACTCCCAGAATCAAGGTCAATGGCCACCAAGCCCTTCTAGTGCTTTCCGTTGGTTGTGGAAGTTCTGTGTGCCAATTTTGGTTCAATTCCATCATTGGTGGAGTTCAGGATGCTCTTTGATTGTAGGTGAACTATAAATCCCAGCAACTACAACTCCCAAATGACAAAATCAACCCCACCTCCAATCTCACCAGTATGCAAAAGTGGGTATATTGTGTATTTCTGCCAAATTTGGTCCAGTGAATGAAAATACATCCTGCATATCAGATCCTGACATCATGATTCATAACATTAGCAAAATTACAGTAATGAAGTTGCAACGAAAATAATGTTGTGGCTGGGGGTCACCACAACAGGAGGAGGTTGGGGCATTCAGAAGGTTGAGAAACACTGCTGTAGCCCATCATGTGTCTTTCTCATTCCATATGATACAAGTAATGTTGGCTTTTCTTGCTGACTTCCTTTGATCTGGAAACCTTTCTCCTTCTCTTCCAGATTCCACTGCATCATCCTTCCCTTCCGAGAGAGGCTCAGTCTCCCAAAGGCCATGATAGTTATCATTGCAGTGTGGCTCTTGGCCATTGCCATCATGTGTCCTTCAGCCTTCATGCTCACCGTCACCCACATAGAAGACCACTTCATGGTGCTGAGCGATGACAAGAACAGCACCTTCCCACTCTATGCCTGCTATGAAGCCTGGTCGGATGAGAGCATGAGGAAGCTCTACACCACCATCCTCTTCATCCACATTTACCTGGTGCCCTTGATGCTGATCATTCTCATGTATGGAAGGGTCTGCTTAAAGCTCTGTGGCTCCACCACCAACCCGCTCTGTACTGCCCGAGTCAACGGCAAAAAGAGAATCAAGGCCGTCAAGATGTTCATTTTGGTCGCCCTCCTCTTCATGATCTCCTGGTTGCCCTTGTGGACATTGATGCTCATGGTGGACTACACGGACCTGGCTGAGGAACATCTGGACTTGCTAAGTGGCTACTTCTTCCCTTTTGCCCACTGGCTGGCCTTCTCCAACAGCAGCATCAACCCAGTCATCTATGGCTACTACAATGAGAACTTTAGGAGAGGCTTCCAAGCAGCCTTCAAGCTTCAGCTTTGCTCCCAAGATGGGAAGCAACAAGGGGCTAGTTCTGAGAAATCCCAGGGGCCCATCAGCTTTGGGGCAGGCAACAAAGTCTGTGTCCAGGCAACCTATTCCAACTCATTGTCCTCCCAGTATACAAGGAACACTACCCCACTCTTATCTGGAGGTGTCCAACCCAACTGCCTTGGACTCGGTTTGGAGGATATTGACAAGATCATGACATATCATGGACCGAGCCAAGCGTGGGAGAAGATGGGCACCTAACTTAGAATGAATGGCAACAAATGGTCTTGGTGGTGGAAGACCATTCTCTAGGCCTTTTGCTGTATCTACACTGTAGAATGAATGCAGTTTGACCCTACTTGAACTGCTATGGCTCAATGCCATGGAATGCTGGGAGTTCCAGTCTGATAAGATCTTTAGTCTTCTCTGCCAAGGAGTGCTGGTGCCTCATCAAACCACACCGATCAGGACTCCATAGAATCGAGCCATGGCAGTCAAAGTGGTGCCAAACTGCATTCATTCTACAGTGTAGATGCACCCAAAGCCAATGTTGCTTGTGTCATATGGAATGAGAAAGAGACATGATGTGCTGCAGCAAAGGTGGCCAACAACTGGAGATGAGCAAACTACTGGGAGCATTTTGGGACTACAATTCCCATTAGTCCTAGCTCTGGATATGCCCTCCGACTTGTTCTATTTGACTTGGGTTGATGCAATTTGACACCACTTTTAGTTGCCAAGGCTCAATGCAATAGGAACTTGGGAGCTGTAGTTTTGCATGGTCTTTACCCTTAATAAAATAAAAACTTTATTTATACCCCGCCTCCATCTCCCCCAAGGGGACTCAGGGTGGCTTATATAAAGCCATGCCCATCAATACAGTAACACAATATAAACACAAAAACACAAAGAATGCCTCCCAGGATTCCATTGCATTGAGTCAGGGCATTTCTAGTGGGGTCAAACTGCTTTAAATTTGCAGTGTGGATGTACATTTTGTTTAAATTCTAAATGTAACCATAATAGCATGGGCTGGCTTCTGTGTAAGTATATTTGTGTGTGTGTGTGTACATATGTATATGAATATATCTATAAGTACATATCTACATATATATATGTGTGTATCTATATAAATAAAAACGTAGAGAGAAGCAGAGAGTGTTTGAGGACCGGGACATCCATAGGACCAAGATGCTTGTTTATAAAGCTATTGTCCTCCCAAACCTGCTATATGCCTGTGAAATGTGGACTGTCTATAGACCTCACATGCAACTCCTGGAACGATTCCATCAGCGCTGCCTCCGGAAAATCCTGCAAATCTCTTGGGAAGACAGGCGGACAAACATCAGCGTGCTGGAAGAAGCAAAGACCACCAGCATTGAAGTGATGGTCCTCCGCCATCAACTCCGCTGGACCGGCCATGTTGTCTGGATGCCCGACCACCGTCTCCCAAAACAGTTGCTCTACTCCCAACTCAAGAACGGAAAGCGGAATGTTGGCGGGCAGGAAAAGAGATTGAAAGATGGGTTCAAAGCCAACCTTAAAAACTCTGGCATACACACTGAGAACTGGGAAGCCCTGGCCCTTGATTGCTCCAGCTGAAGGTCAGCTGTGACCAGCAGTGCTGCAGAATTTGAAGAGGCACGAATGGAGGGTGAAAGAGAGAAACGTGCCAAGAGGAAGGCGTGTCAAGCCAACCCACCTAGAAACCAATGTGCTCACTGTGGGAGAAGATGCAGATCAAGAATAGGGCTCCACAGTCACCTACAAACCCACCCCCAGGACACCGAACTTGGAGGACCATCATCCTTGGTCCTCAGTAAAATAAAAATGTAACTGTTTGTTTGTGAATGACCTAAAATCTCCCAAAATATTTCACTGATTACCTCAAATTTGAATACAACATAGCATTCAAATAGGCTAATGTTTTATGTGTTCACATACCTACTATTATATAGATGTCACACCTGTGACAGGTAAAAACATGCTTGGCATCAAAACCAGCGCCATCTGCTGGACGCCCAAACAACACATCGCAAAGGGACCCCATCAAGGTCGGAGCGGTCATTAGGGATCTGTGGCCTGGCTGCCCCCCACCAAGCCTGTCTGCCTGCCTCCCTCCGGAGCAGAACCAGGAGAAGAAGAGCAGGAAAAGGGCGGTGGGGCAGGTAGGAAAATCCAAGCTGGGGAAAGGAGCGGGACATGGGACCAGGGGAGGGAGGGAAGGAGACAGGCAAGGAGGTAGGCCTAGCCCAAGTCCCAGGCTCCCATAGCCTCACGCCCTGCCTGGCTTTGCCTGGCACCACCTCCTGTCTGCACCTCCGGAAAGACTGGAGGCTCAGCAGGAAGGAAGGATTGAATGGTAGGAAGGGAGAGATTGATCGGAGGAAAGGAAAAGGTTTCCCCAGAACACAAAGATCATTATTATATAGACCAGTATCACTGCTATTATTATCATTACAATATACACCAGTATTATTGTTATTATATCGATGATATATGCCAGTATTATTATTATTATTTACACCATTATTATTATTTCCCAGACAATGAAACAACAAAAATATTGTATACCCACACAAGCATTATGAAATTCCATATATTAGAAACCAGCTCTTTCTCTTTTTTTCTTTTCCATTTAACCAGACTGGGCCATAGTGAGGACGAACTCACAGGCCCCTGTCTTCAAGCTGATCTGAGATGCAGCAGGGAGTTCCACAGTTTCTGAAAGCATGGACTTGGAGAAAGCAAAGGGACTGTGGCTCCAGAAGGAGCTTCAGCACAGGGACTTTTTTTTTTTTAGCTGAGCTCACCCGGTTTCATTGTAACAACCCCCCCCCCCAATAAAAGTATCCTTTCTTGCAACTTTTTACTCTTTCCAGAATGATATTTTGTGTCATTTACTGACTCTAACTCTCTGTCCTTATGAACCTTTCTTTTCGGAGCCGTGGAACCCCGCTGGCTCATCCAGGATGCTCTTGCAGCATCCCAAGGAGGGCAAAACTGCATTCCTTTGAACTACGGATATGGAAACTCATTGGGGCCTCGTATCCGCGGGTCAACCGATTAGCTCCAAACCAGTACCATCTTTTTTCCTGGGCTAATTCTATGACTAATTGTGATCTTACTTTCTGCTGAACGGATCCCTGCGCCCTGGGAATCCACTTTTTTTGTGTAGAAACCTCATGTGGAGACTAGCAGGCATATTTCCATGTCTCCACACTGCAACGATGTTCACGCCTCCATTTCATGCACATATGGAAGCCTGTTGACCCCAGGGGTCCCTTGTGGTCACCCCCTGCCCCCCCAACCCCTAGCAGGCCAATTTGACCCTTCGTTAATTGGATCTACAGTTTTCCCTTTCTTTTGTGAATGGACCCTGACCATTCAGTGCTCCCATGGATTCCCACATGCTCCCCATGAACTTTTGGGAATTCTTATGGACTTTCATGAACTTCTCAGGAACTTTTATAAACTTTCTTCAATGTTTATGAACTTTTTGAGAACTTTTATAAACTTTCATGAGCTTTTAAGAACTCTTAGGAACTTCCATGGACTCTTTACCAAACTCCCACAAACTCCCATGAACTTTTTGATAACTTTCACAAACTTTTATGAACTTTTATGAACTCAATATTGGGTCTAATTGAGTTGTAGATAGCAATTGAGATAGAGAAGCTTATTGAGTTATAGATAGATTTTGTTATTGAGTATTATTGAGCATTACTTCCTCTCCAAAGCTAACCTTGAGCTTAGATAGGGAAAAAACCTGTTTTTTCTAACCATAGCAGCTCAGGGTTAGGGTGAAAGGATCCCAGGATTTTTTCTACCATTTGGGGAAAAGTTACCTCAGTAACTGAAGGAAAAGGAAAGATAGATCATCTTTATGGTTTCTCAAATTGACTGTTTGTGTTGTAACTTTATCAAGCTGTGCCAAGTCTGCCAAGGACTTTGGAAATAAATATTCTGTTTGATGTTCCAAACCTGAAGTGGCCTCAGTTGCTGAGAATTTTTGAGCCTCTAAAGAAAGACCCCCGCGGTCCACCTAGATAAAGAGAGAAGCACATCTTAGTTTTAATTTCATAGCGTCTGGGTGTGACGGCACAGATGGACCATGGATAATGGGATTTGTAGTACCTTCACCCACATCCAGAGACTACTGTAACACCATCAGCCATGGATCTGCAGTAATTTCTAATGGGTCCATTAATACCATCTAAAAACAAACAATAATTTCAAATAATCCAGGCATTGTGGGGTACCCAAGCTAGTATATATATATGTGTGTATATGTATGTTTGTCATATCAAAGGAGCTAAAATATTACAACAAGAAGGGGGGGGGGGCTTGAAACAGCAGATCGGTGATCACTTCTATACTTACAAAGAACCGCATAAACCTAGTGCCAGGATTTAAAAGGACCATAGCAAAGCAAACTAAAGGCTGCTAAATAAAACCTCAGGTAAATATATAAAGATCTACGCTAACATTCATTTGGGTGACACCTAACCATCCCCTTGCCAGAAAAATGACCAAATGGAAACCCCCTGCCAGAAAGCAAACCTCGTTACTCACTGGATAAGTATATCTTAAATGAGTAACCGCCGGCCTCTTGTCATCACCCGGATCTGCAAAGCTGACATTAAATCAACAACCCACAATGAGCCCTGGAAACAAAAGGCGAGGATTTATGGGGTGTGGAGTGACAGAGGGCATTTATCCTTTTGCATTGAATGGGTCAAAGCCACTATAAATCTCATGCCAGAGAAAGGCAGGCGAGGTTCCATGTAATGATGCGTGAAGCAAACATCATAATCTGCCATGAATGCACTTCTGTGGGTCAGGTGCATTCATCCACCCTGATGCCTATACTTTATCTGAAATGAAGTGTTTGGGGTTTTGGGTTATTTTACCTGTTCCTCCTCTTTTGTTTGCGTCTCCTTCACCATCATCCATATTAGGGTTTGGTTTCATATATAGATGCCATAATCCATGGATGTTCAAGCCCCATACATGGATGCATTAGAGCAGTGTTTCTCAACTTGGGGGTCATGAGGGGGTTTCAGTGGGGTCACCAAAGACCTTCAGAAAACACATATTTCTGATGGTCTTAGCAAGGGTCCTCAAACTTTTTAAACCAGGGGACAGTTCACTGTCCCTCAGACCATTGGAGGGCCGGACTATCATTTTTAAAAAAAATAAATAAATTAAAAATTCCTATGCACATTGCACATATCTTATTTTGCTGTGTGGAAGGGCCCTTAGAGGGGGTTCTTTCTAGCCCTCTTTAGGCAGTAATTCCAGGAGCAGAGAATGGGAAATCTTCCTATTTCTAGTCTGAACAAAATCTGGCTACCAGTATTTAAAAAAACTCTAAAATTATAACTGTAAATAAAGAACAACACTCAAACACAGGGGAAC